AGATGCGCTTGAAGAGCTCCTGGATGGCCGTGCTATTTCCAATGAAGGTGACTGCCATCTTGAGGCCACGGGGTGGGATGTCACAGACAGCCGTCTTGACATTGTTGGGGATCCATTCCACAAAGTAGCTGCTATTCTTGTTCTGCACGTTGAGCATCTGTTCATCTACCTCCTTCATGGACATCCGCCCACGGAAAACAGCAGCCACAGTGAGGTAACGGCCATGGCGGGGGTCACAGGCAGCCATCATGTTCTTGGCATCGAAGACCTGCTGGGTGAGTTCAGGCACAGTAAGGGCCCGATACTGCTGGCTTCCACGGCTGGTCAGAGGTGCAAAGCCAGGCATGAAGAAGTGGAGACGTGGGAAGGGTACCATGTTAACTGCCAGCTTGCGGAGGTCCGCATTGAGCTGACCAGGAAAGCGGAGGCAGGTGGTGACACCGCTCATGGTGGCTGAGACAAGGTGGTTGAGGTCACCGTAGGTTGGCGTGGTCAGCTTGAGAGTGCGGAAGCAGATGTCATAAAGGGCCTCGTTGTCAATGCAGTAGGTCTCATCAGTGTTCTCTACCAACTGATGGACGGAGAGGGTGGCATTGTAGGGCTCAACCACAGTGTCAGACACTTTGGGTGAAGGTACCACACTGAAGGTGTTCATGATACGGTCGGGATATTCTTCTCGGATCTTGCTGATGAGCAAGGTGCCCATTCCAGAGCCTGTGCCCCCACCGAGTGAGTGGGTCAGCTGGAAGCCCTGCAGGCAGTCACAGCTCTCAGCCTCCTTCCGCACCACGTCCAGGACTGAGTCAACCAGCTCAGCCCCCTCTGTGTAGTGGCCCTTGGCCCAGTTGTTGCCTGCCCCAGACTGACCTGGAAGGAGGTCAGGAGGCAGTCTTGGTTAGTAAAATGTGAGAGATAAAGGGCCAAATTTCCAACTTCAACTTTTGTAATAATGTCCATGAATGTGCTTTCTTTCTCACCCACCTCTGATATATCCCTCCCCCACTATTTACAACCTAGAGTGGTCACCACCAACACCCTGCATTAGAGATTTCAGAACACAGCCCCAGGTAAGCTCTTCAGTATAACAATTAGCTCCTAATCCTGTTTCCTTCATTCTAGTAAACCGAACAGCACATAATCTAATAGGCGTATAACTCACCAAAAACAAAGTTGTCTGGTCTGAATATCTGCCCAAAAGGACCTGAGCGAACAGAGTCCATGGTCCCTGGTTCTAGATCCACCAAGATAGCGCGAGGAACATATTTGCCACCTATATGGAAGAAAGTAGAGTAAAAATTGGCAGACAAGATAAATTGGGGCTCGTTCAAACTTGTAAGTACAAGTGCTGCCACCAGGGGGCAGCAGAGCCAATTTTTTGCCCCACTGAGGAAGTCAAGTTAAGGTCTTAAAAAAAAAAAAAAGAGGAGACTCATCCGAAAGTGGTAAAAGGGTTCTCCAGGGCTGGAAAGAGACCCCAGAGAAGGGGGAGAGGAGAGGAGATGCAAACTTCCCGGACTTCCGCCCTTACCTGTAGCTTCATTGTAGTACACGGAGATGCGGTCCAGCTGCAGGTCGCTATCACCGTGATAGGTTCCAGTGGGGTCAATGCCATGTTCATCACTGATTACCTCCCAGAACTGCCAAAGAAAAGCAAGGAGACCTCAAAAGCTCTGCTCCCAGCCAATTAGAGCCCCACTCCATCCAGACATTTTAATTCGACACCCCTGGTGGTGAGCCCGATTCTAGGGCCCGTATTCCCTCCATCTGCCTGCCACACCCTTCCACTAGGCACCCGCAGGTTTCATTGCTTGGGATGGGAGACGAGATGCAGCTGAGGATGCCCGGCGATAGCAGGAAATTGTGGGGACTGTGAAGAGCCAGATGGAAGCGGCTTAACAGACTGGACAAGCGCACCTCCCCGACTCGTACAAAAGCCCAGGGTAGAGAAATGAGCTGCTGCCACGGTCGACTACCCTCTCTCCACATGATTGAGGCGCCCGCTGTACCAGTGACAAAGGAGGCGGTGGGCGTGGCGTGAATTCCGCGCGCTAGAGGCGGGGCTCGACTCTGGCTAGCGCGCCCCCAGCCGGCTGGCTGGGCCGCATTGTCCCCGCGCGCCAGGGGCGCCCGACCCCGCCCTTCTTCTACAACGTAGCAGAAGCACTTCCTCCCCGCCCTTCCCCCGCTACACTGTAACCGCGCGCAAAAAAAAAAAAAAAAAACAAAAACCACCACTTCCCCCCAACTCTGCCTTGGCCTCGGTATTTTATTCTTTTGCCAGTTTTTAATCCCTCGCTTTAAATACGGATTCTCTTCCTTTCTACCCCTGGTTATTCCTGAGGCACCCTTTGGAGAAAAGAAAGAACTCTCCTGCTCTTACCCGAGATCTGTTCACGCCCTAAAAGGGTCTCTTAACGGGAGATGAAAGGAAATAGAATTAATTCAGCCCCTACTAGTCTTCCATCCACAAGAACTACGGGGTCGCCCCTCAGGGATCGCGGGCGCACGACATGCCTATCTTCTGGGAAGGGCACGGCGCAGCGGAGCCCACCCTGGCGCACCGCATCCCCCAGCCCACGGTGGGATCCGGACACTCCGCAGCCGCCGCCCAGCCCTTCCCCCTCCGACGAAACCCAGCCAAGGGGGATGCACATGGGAAACCTCGCTTCGCTTTGTCTCCAACCGTTTCCGCATCTTCCTCGCTCCCCGGTTCTCAGACCGTTAGAACACTTTCAAGTAAAATCTTAAAAAACTACGGTCTTCCCACCCCCAAACCCGAAAGATACTTAATAGCTTCCCCAAAACAAGTCAGCGAGGAATAATTTCCCATTTTTTCAAAAGCAAAATCTAGCTACAAAGGTCTATTATGTATTGAAAACTTTTGGGGGACAAAGCCCAATTATAGATGAAATGTAAATATGTCCCACAACCATCTTTCATCATTTATCTGGATTTCTTCCATCCCAAAAGAAATATAGTTAAAATAAGAGGGTTAAAATCCTTACCTTGGCACCGATCTGGTTGCCACACTGACCGGCCTGGATGTGCACGATTTCCCTCATTGTTAAATTTTATTTCAATTTTTTTGCTCGCCTCAAGGTGTGTACGGGGCAAGAAAATAATATGGGATTTTTTTTTCCTGTACTGCTGGTCGCAGGCTGGAAGGATGGGACGTGTCCCGGAGCCTAAAGCAGTGAGGTCCGAACACAGAGGCAGGAAGGTTCTGAGAGGGAGAAAGGAGAGGGGAGGGCAAAGGAGGGAAGGCGGGCAGGGCGGGGCGCGCATGCGCCCAGGCTGGGAGGCGGGAGAACGAGCCTAGCGCCGCGGTCGAGAGACAAAGCCTTATCTAAACTGGCCCTGATTAGTCGATGCCAGTCACGTATGAGACTCCCATTGGTCTATGCTCTGAGCGACGAACGCAGGCCTTACTGGGAGTTGTAGTCCTCCATTGTTGTCCACGCTGCAAAATGAAGGGAGGGATGGGTGGATACTAGATTTTTGGTTTGGGTGTTGTGTTTTGTTTTGTTGATAAATGATCTTGTGCAAGATTTCTTTAGCCCATGCCTGAGTTTTCGTACGAAGAGGGAGGTGTTTTCGGGGACACAGTAATTGGGAACCCTGGGGTGCCAGGCGTTAGAAGGTGGAGTGGGCACGCCCTGAACGCTCCCTGCTGCGGTAGCTCTTGGGAATAGAGGGCTGCTTAGCTCAGCGAAAACGGGAGAAATGCGGCACTCTGCTCTGCTATCTAACGGCTGGACATTTGGTGACCCAAGGCATGAGCTCCAGTAAGCCGCTCCTCCCCCAGATAGGATAAAGAGGGTATTACCCCTCTGCTATGTCCTTGGAATTTTCTGATAATGTTTACAAAGAGTAACAAAATTGCAGCAATGGCTTTTTAGAAGAGAGATAATTGAGGGTGTGTTCAAAGAATAAGTTGAATGGTTTAGAGAAACTGGTATCTGGAATCTGAAAAGACTGAAGTCTCTGTTCACGTGTAAAGGGTTCTGGGCCTTAGAGCAGCACTGAAGACACTGCTTTTGTCAGAGAACTATTGAGAGCGTGATAGAATTTCGGTGTCTTCCAGCCTGCCTCTGTAGACACTTAAGTGAAAGTGTTTTTCAGTCTGCTGAATTCACTGGCCATTGCAGTCTTTAAAAAGCCTCAGGATTGAGGGGCGCCTGGGTGGCCTAGTCGGTTAAGCATCTGACTTTCGCTTGGGTCATGATCTCGCGTTCGTAGGTTCGAGCCCCGCGTCGGGCTCTGTGCTGACTGCCAGCTCAGAGCCTGGAGCCTGTTTCAGAGTCTGTGATTCCCTCTCTCTGACCCTCCCCTGCTCATGCTGTCTCTCTCTCTTTCTCTCCTAGAAATAAATAAAAACATTTAAAAATTAAAAAAAAAAAGCCTCAGGATTGAAACAAAAGACGGGGGACTGATGGGAGAAAATTGGATGGGCCCAAGTCAGGGTAGCAAGCTTCTTAGGGATTAATTAATTTGATAGATACTAGGTGTCTAGCAAACCAGAAGTTAGGGATACAAAATGAGTAAAAATTAGCTCCTGGCCTTCAGGATCTTGCAGTTTGGTGGGAAGTGTATAAACAATGGAGCGTGGTAAAGCACTGTAACAGAATATGGGATAACAAGGTCCTCATAAACACATTCAACACATTTCTCCTCACCTAACCAAAAAGTAAACAAGTTGTTTATTATAAAGACCCCCTCTACCCACTAAAAAGAATGCTTTATGCTTTAGAGCATGATCACAATGAAAGCAGTTATTTAAGTTCTCTACCTTACATTAGTTGTAGGAACCTTGGGAGGTTCACAGACCCTCAATTCCCTCTGTAAAACCTCCATCTCATTTGATTGTTACGGTCGGAAGGGAGATAAAGAATGCAAAAGGACTTCCTAAATTACACACATCGAATTGTTACTATTTTCCTCTTAGTACGATATCATGAAGTAGATGATTTTATCATCCTTTCTCTACCTTTTCAAAGACCTTAGTCAACCTTTAAGATAGTTAACAAAACAGTTCTCCCTCTTCGCCTACAGATCCTTAGGAAAATGACCTCCAAATGTCCATCAGGGATGTATTTTCAGGGAGGAAAGGACAAAATCTTTGTCCTAACTTCTACTTCTACTAAAAAAGACAAATCAAAAGGAAATGAAGTTCCACCACGATGAGGGAGTCCTCAAGCGCCACGCCTAAGGGCAGTTCTCCAAACTGCAGCCTCTAGCCACGACTGCAACCCACACCTCATTTTCATTTCTCCTGAGTCAGCGGACTCCATGTCTCGGAGGACCGGGGAAGGGCTCTCTGGCTGCAGTAAACGCATCCGGCGATGACTGTGGTAAGCCCCTCTATCCGCCCTCGGCAGCCAGACTCTGTGGTCACGGTTTGGAAATCTACGCGGGAAGTGGGCTGTGGGAGGTGAAGAAGTGGTGGGTTGTGCCTCGGAGCTGTCCAATCGAGGTGCGCCATTCTGTGCGCACAGACCAACCTCGGATTACCGCCTCCCTCAACCGATTTCAGGTTCTCAGGAGAAGGCGCCCCTTTGAGCTGAGGGGGCGGGGGCGGGGGCGAGGGCGAGGCTTTCGCTGTGCCTGGTGTTGCGAGCTTCGTCAATCGTCAGGCAGAAGGTCTCTGAAAGACAGCGGCAGGAGCCAATCAGCGAATCGCCTCCCTCCCGGCGCGAGCTCTAGCGCCACTGGGTAGCGGCCGTTACTGGTGGCGCGCGCGGGGACTCAAAGTAGGTGAGTTCTGGGGGACCTCGCCCACCGCTCCTCGGGTGCCATCTTGGCTCTCCCGGAGGGCGGGAGGGGCGTGCCTTGGGTGCGACTGGGCGGAAGATACTTGGAAGTTTGCTTCTCAGCTTTTAATACTCGTAGTTACTTGACGCCCCTCCCCGAGTTTAGGTATGAGAGACATTGGGCCTTGAGGGAACCCACTGGGGTGGGGATCAAAGATGGTGGCTCACTGGATTGGAGCCAAGGGTCCTGGGCTCTCACTGAATTCTCCAATCTTAAGGACGCAGTTAGCACTATCCTATCCCCATGGACGCGTCCTACTTTACCTGTCAACAACTGACCTCAGGGATGGCATCCTTTTAAAGTGAGTTCCACCCATACTGTTACTAGTTTTCATCCCCCTTCATTTGTCTTTTCATCAGGAAGGCAGGGTTAATTTTATGTTTGGTTTGAACAGTACCAGGTGGGCAATAGGTACTGTCGAATGAATATGATGTGCCCTAGGGGAAAAGGCACAGTTCTGCTGGCCCAGTTCTCGAGAGGGTGTGTGAAGGCAGAAATGGAAAGTACTGTTTACAGTATAGTTAGAAGGGTTGGAGAAAAGACAAGTTCACTGACGACTGTGAAACACGTGGGTACCCAAAAACACCAGAAACCAGGGAAGACTCCAGGAAAGGCCTTGTTGAAAATGACATTTGAACTGAACCATAAATCATGGGTAGGAGTTGATCAGAAAACTAGGAGCAAAGGTACTAGCTAAAGCATGCAGGTGTGGGAGACAACAGGAACTGTGTTTGGAAATTGGGGAGAAGGTCCGTATGGCTGAACCATAGACTTTGGGGGAGGGGAGCGTACACTGCAGGAACTGAGGTTCAGATTATGGAAGGTCTTGCTAAAGAGTTGAGATTTTACTTTATCTTGTGGGCATGGAAAGCCACCAAACGTTAAACAGATGACAGTATCTTGATGATCTTGGGCAAGTTGTTTAACCTATGTATGTTGCAGTTTCGTAATCTGAGAAATAGAATATAGTAATAGTAATTTACAAAGTTCTTGTGAGGATTGAATCTGCATGTATACATATGTATGTATATGTATACAGGTATATACTTGTACATATATATGTATGTGTTTATATATACGTATATACATAAAGTCATTAAAGCAGTACTTCACACATAGCAAGTGTCTATGTAAGCTGGTAGGATTCTTTGCAGTATACTCTGATCATACTGAGATGTCCTGGTAAAGTGTAAAACCTATGGGCTTTGCCTCCAGAAGCACATTTATTCCTTTCTTTTCCACCGACTTGCTATGTTATCCTGAGCAAGTCATTTAATATTTTTAGCCTTAGTTTCCTAAGTGCATGTCTCCTATGTTTGCTATGCTTGACACATAATACAAAGCCCAACACATAGTTGATGCTTGGCATAATTTGGCTCTCTTTAAAATATTTTGTTCAGGGGCACCTGGTGGCTGAGTCAGTTAAGTGTCTGACTTCAACTCAAGTCATGATCTCAAGGTTCATGAGTTTGAGCCCCACCTCAGGCTCTGTGCTGGCAGCTGGGAGCCTGGAGATGCTTCGGATTCTGTGTCTCCCTCTCTCTCTGCCCCTCCTCCGCTTGCACTCTGTCTCTCTCTCTCTTTCTCTGTCTCTCAAAAATAAAATTAAAACATTTTTAAGAAATAATTTTTTTTTCAAACTGTGGGTTGCAAATCAGCATTTACAAAATAGATGGGAAAGAAAAGAATGAAATATCAGTATGTTGTATATCATAAGGCAAACATTGTTTCTCAAATGTTTGTATCTATATGTAAGCACATGTATTTGTATATATTTATGTACTCAGGACCTTGTAATATTTATCCCCCCCATAATATTTATTTCTTATCATCACAATTTTTTAAAATTTTTACTTATTTTTTGAGAGAGAGAGCGCATGCGCATGTGTAAGTGGGGGAGGGGCAGAGAGGGAGGCAGAGGATTCAAAGCTGGCTTTGTGCTGACAGCAGAGAGCCCAATGTGGAGCACTAACCATCACAAATATTTTTTAAATGCTGTGATAGAGATGATGATAATCTGTTTCCTTCCCAGGTCATGGAAGACACCCAGGCTATTAACTGGGAGGTTGAGGAAGAGGAAGAGACAGAGATACCCAGTGGATCCTCGGGGTGTAGCTTGGAGCCTGTAGGGCGATTGCATGTCTTCAGTAGTGCCCATGGACCAGAAAAAGGTCAGAGGTTATTAGATGCTGGAGGACTGATACAGGCCTCTTATTTTTATGCAGAGGTAGTTGGTGGGTTGCAAGAATCTTATATATACTTCAAAGAGATCTGAAAGTGTTCTTCACTGGGAATGGAAAAGAGGGGGGCTGATTGAGTTGATTGTTCCAGGCAAGTGCCCTGGACTCAATGGGCTCAATTTTACTTTGGTAGGAGAAGGTGAAGAGATTCAAATAGAAATTGAGCATGGTCTGGAAATGGATGGTGGTGATGGTTGCACAACAATGTGAATGTACTTAATGCTACTTAAACACTTAAAAATAGTTACTTGGTAAATTTTATGTATATTTTACCACAACAAAAAAATCCAATGTGGATAGATGGGGTATTGACAATGAATAACACAATTGCTTATATTCTTCAATACTTAGATGTCATACGGTCTTTTATTTTTCTTATGTATGTGCGGACCTTGAGTTTGTAGTCGGTTACTTAACAGGAATATTTTCCTGATAGCAGGCCAAAACTCTGGCCTTCACTTATCTACCTCTCTAATTCTTAGATTTTCCTCTGTATCTCGGGAAGAATATGGTAGGCCGAATGCCTGATTGCTCTGTGACCCTGCCCTTTTCGTCAATCTCCAAACAACATGCAGTGATTGAAATCTTGGCCTGGGACAAGGCACCTATCCTTCAAGATTGTGGGAGCCTCAATGGTACTCAAGTCCTAAGGCCTCCTAAGGTCCTAAGGCCAGGGGTGAGTCATCGGCTGAGGGACCAGGAGTTGATTCTCTTTGCTGACTTGCCCTGCCAGTACCATCGCCTGAATGTCCCCCTGCCCTTTGTTTCCCGGGGCCCTCTAACTATAGAAGACACACCCAGGGTACAGGGAGGAACTCAACCCCAGAGACTCCTGTTGGCTGAGGACTCGGAGGAGGAAGTAGGTATGTTTGTATATTGGGAGTGTGGGTGAGAAGATGGGGATGGTAAGTTTAAAACAGTCAACTTACTCCTTTTTACTCTTGACAGATTCTCCTTTAGAAAGGTGTGTGGTAAAAGAACCAAGGACCTCCCCTTTAGCTGCTGTGGTTCCAGAGAGGTAAGTGCTAGAGGAACAGATACTTGAGTCTTCAAAAGGAGGAGGAACCAGGGCTGTAGGATCCATTTCTTAGAGATGATTATCATGAAAGTGGGGCTGGGGAATTGCACATAGTCTTTTGCTCAGCTGAACTTTTTTTGAGTACCTCTGATGTCCCAAGTAGAGAATTAATTGCTGGAGAGGAAAAAACAGTTACTTGCTCGTGCCTGCTCTCAAGGAGCTCCCTGTTGAGCAGAGTATTCCTTCTTGGGAAACAAATGCTTATAGATTTGTTACCTTCTCTTTCCTTCACAGTGATGAAGAGGCCCCTTCCCCTGCCCTAGATGGCCCTGGGCCACCTTTTGCCTTCAACCTGGACAGTGACACAGATGAGGAAGAAAGTCAACATCCAGCATCAGGAGAGGCCTCCTCAACTGCCAGAGGAGGCTCCACTGCAGCGACAGAACAGTCTACAGCTGTGGCAACTGAAATCCAGCTTGAAAAGGATCAGTGTTCAGTGAAGGAGAGGAACAATGACATAGAAGTTGAGAAGGATGCAAGGAATGGGGTGGTCCCACTTGGGGTGATTCTGGAGAGAAACCAACCTGCTGGGGAGGACAGTGACACAGTTGTGGGTGATGAGAGCAGGTCTCCAGGAAGGCCTGCTGTAGTCTGTCTGGAAAGGGCCCAGCCTTCTGACTTCATAGACAGTGATACTGATGTAGAAGAAGAGATCCCTGCAACCCCAGCTGTAGTTCCTATGGAGAAGAGGCACATCTTCCATGGAGTTAGTACAAAGAGTCCTCAGGCACCTGCCTTGGCACATCTACAGGAGAGCCCAACTGGTAGTGATACAGATGTGGGGGAAGGTGAGATCCAGCTGGCAGTCCCTCTAGAGAGAAGCCGAGCCTCTGTGGTGATTGACAGCAATACAGATAATGAGGAAGAAGTCTTAGCAGCACTCGCTTTGGCACGTCTGAAAGAGAGCCGAGCCACTACATGGGACAGAGATACAGATTTTGAAGAGGACAGGGCCCAACCTGTGGCCCTTCTGGAGCAAAGCCAAACCTCTGCTGGGAGAGATAGCGACACAGATGTGGAGGAGGAGGGGCTCCCAATGGAAAAGAAAGGAACTGTTTCCAAGGGTCACACAGACAAGGCACATTCAGAAAAGAGGCAACCTCCTCTCCGAAACAGTGATCTAGGGGTGGATGAAGATAAGAGCTCACTTGGGGTCCATCTCGAGAGAAACCATGCCTCTGCCACAGTAGACCTCAACATACAAGTGGAGGAAAAAGTCCCACCAGGGTCAACTGTTACACTTGTGGAGAAGCATCAGGTGCCTGTGGTATGGACAGATCAAACAGATGTGGAAGTAGAAGAGGGCCAAGCAAAGCTGCCTGTGATGCATCTAGAGGAATCCCAACCTCCATCTGGGGATGGTGAGACAGATGCAGAGGAGGGCATATCCTTAGCAGCCTCAGTTGTGGCAGGTATAAAAAGGAGCCAGCTTCCAGCAGAAAAGAATGCTGCAGACAGGGCTGCAGCTGTTCTTGAGTGCAAGAGAGATCTTGAGGCGAGGACCCAGGGTGAATCACTTTGGTTACAGGTGGAGCAGGATCTCCTCCCTGTCTCAAGGGAGAACGTTAATGATCTGCAGGTCACAGGCACTTTAGGGGAATCCATCCAGCTACAGAGAAAGGGAGCCCAGACCTCCATAGAAGAGGAGAGAGAACCACATATGGACAAGACCGAGGACTCTGGAGACAACCACAGTGGTAAGTGGTGGCCCTCCTCCCTTGACCCCTAAAAGAAAGACTGCTTCTAGAATTTCTTAGTCCATTTGGGCTGCTGTAACAGAATACTGTTTTCTGGGTGGCTTATAAATAACAGAAATTTATTTTTCACAGTTGTGAAGCCTGGTAAGTCTAAGATCAAAGTGCCAGATTGGTCATGTTCTGGTAAAGACTTGCTTCCTTCTTCATAAGCAGCTGTGTTTTCACTGTGTCCTCACATGGCAGAAGGGCACAAGGGAACTCTCTGGGGTGTCTTTTTAAGGAAGGGTACTAATCCCATTCACGTGGGTTCTATCCTCATGCACTAATCATCTCCCAAAGGCCCCACCTCCTAATAAATTCATGTTTGAAATTAGATTTCAATATATGAATTTGGGGGATTTTGGGGGACCACACATTTGGTCCATTGCAGAAGGATTTGGGTTGGGGAGAAAATGGTAAAGAGAGAGTAAGGAATTAAGAGTCAGGTAGAGTTTTTATTTATCTATCTTCTATTCTTCCTCTACCAGATTCTGAAGACCTGGACCTACAGGCTACCCAGTGTTTTGTGGAAAGAGAGAATCAGAGTCTGGAAGGTGAGGACATCCATGTCATGTGGATGTTGGTGCAAGTGGGAGCTGGGAGCCCAAAGTGGTGATCCTTGAAGTTTGTGAAAGCTAGCATGGGTGAGGCAGGAAGCCAGGAATGGGACCCTGGAGTTCTGTGGAGGAGCTGTGCTTGAGTCAGCTTTTCTTGTGCAACAGCCCAGAGCATGGAAGATGAAGCCACCCAGGCCTTCCTGGTTACTCTACCCCAAGAGCCTGGTCCTTCCTGTTGTAGCTTCCAGGATACAGGTATAAGATACTCTGTCTTTCATGCCTCTATCTTGGCATCATTGCTTTCTCCCTCGACATGTTTTTTTCTCATTGTTTGACTTTTGTTGTTGTTTTTCCATCTCCATCATTTTTATTTTTTTTTCAATCTTTTAAGTTTATTTATTTATTTGAGTGAGAGAGAGAAAGAATCCCAAGCAGGCTCTTGTCAGCACAGAGCCTGATGCAAGGCTCTATCTCCCAAATCATGAGGTTGTGACCTGAGCTGAAATCAAGTTGGACATTTAACCAACTGAGCCACCCAGGCGCCCCTCCATCATTTAAAAAAAATTTTTTTTAATGTTTTATTTATTTCTGAGAAAGAGAGAGAGAGAGAGACAGCATGAGCAGGGGAGGGTCAGAGAGAGAGGGAGATACAGAATCTGAAACAGACTCCAGGCTCCTAGCTGGCTGTCAGCACAGAGCTGGACGTAAGGCTCGAACCCATGAACCATGAGATCATGACCTGAGCCAAAGTCAGACGCTTAACTGACTGAGCCACCCAGGCGCCACCCCTCCATCATTTTTAAAGAGGCTACTATGAGAACTTTTCCTTTTTTTAACTTTATTTATTTTGAGGGAGAAAAAGCTGGGGAGGGACAGTGAGAGAGGGGGACAGAGGATCTGAAGCAGGCTCTTTGCTAACAGCAGAGAGCCTGATGTGGGGCTCAAGCTCATGAACCACGAGATCACGACCTGAGCCAAAGTTGGATGCTTAACTGACTGAGCCACCCAGGTACCCCTATGAGAATTTATGTATGTGTGTGGTCTTATTTTTTAGACAAACACTAAATGTTATAACTGTCCTCCTTATTCTCAACTTTCATTTAAAAATCCACTTAGGTTTATTATTCATGAATTTATCTTAATCTCTTCTCAATCTGTTACGTTTTCAGTCTGTATCTTACTCTGTCTCTCTCTGACTCTAAACTTCCAGGTACTTTGGATGACCCGTGGGAAGTCTTGGCAACACAGCCATTCTGTCCAAGAGAGTCTGAGGCCTCTGAGCCCGAGCTCATTGTTGCCCAGCTTGATCCCCATGGATCTTGCCTCCCTATACCTTGGACAATACCACAAGCCCAACATCCAGAGAGCCCAGTTCACATAGAGCCATTGGGGATTCAGGACAGAGGGATGAAAGACACGGGAACACCAAGAAAAGCTGCAGAGGGGGTGGCCCCTGAGAGAGGACCATTGGACAGGGAAACCGAGAACCTGCCAGCAGGAGAACGAGAAGATGTGATAGGAGAAGAAGAGTTAACCAGAGGAATGCAGGTGTTAGCTAGAGATACTCAAGGACAAGAGTCTGACCAAAAGTGCAAGGTGAAAAGTGCAAGAATTAAAAGGAGTATGGAGAATTTGAACATAGAAATTGAGATACCCAGGGAAATACAAGAGAAAGAAATAGAAAAGCATACTCTTGCAAGAGAAATATTTGAGAGAGAAACAGAGAAACTAGTACTAGAGAGAGAAGGTGAGCCATTTGGGTTAGGAGTTGAGGTACCGGAAAGAGTACTGGAGAGAGGCCCACAGAGAGGGGAGACTGAGAAAGGGAGCCAGGACCAGGAAGGGCAAGCCTCCAGTCCAACACTAGAGCTTGGAACAGGGACAGGTGATCATCAGGGACTTGCTTCAACCCCAGTAGTTTCTGGGAGCCAGTCAGGTGGAGGAGAGGGAGTCCCAGTGAGCCCCAGGAGGCAGCAGAGAGGTAAGTGAAGGCAGAGGGGAACCCCAGGTTAGCCTTTGTACTAATCAACCCCCAAGTGACTGACTGCTTAGACCTCAGCTGCACTTGTTTTTACTTTCTGTCTAGGCCACTTGACTTTCGAGGTGCCACCTGCTGAGAAGGCCTCTGGGGTAAGAGCTGCTGTTTCTGCTCCTTCTATTCCATTGCTCTTTCCCCTGACCTTGCTCTAATCTACTCCTTTTTCTATCTTCCCAGTTTTGTTTTGTTGTGACCACTCCTTAGTGGCTTCTGTTGCTTTCCCTTGGCACATATCATTTTCTTTTTTTTTTTTTCAATTTTTTAATTTGCCTTTTTTTTATTTAAAATTTTTAACGTTTTTATTATTGAGAGACAGAGCATGAGCATGGGAAGGGCAGAGAGAAGGAAAGACACAGAATCTGAAGGAGGCTCCAGGCTCTGAGCTGTCAGCACAGAGCTCATTGCAGGACTTGAACTCACAAACCATGAGATCATGACCTGAGCCGAAGTCAGACACTAAACCAACTGAGCCACCCAGGTGCCCCTGCACCTGTCATTTTCTATGTCTGTTTTTCAAGTTCTACCTCCCTGTACCTGACTCAGAATGTCATTTTTTTGTGTGTCTTCTCCCTCTTTTTTCCAACCATCCGCTTATTGCCATCATCCACCTATGGAGAACACTATTCTAGCATGAGGAGGGGTCTGTGGGAATGAGGACTGCTACTTCCCCAGGAAGTTCCCAGTCTTGGAACTTCCTCCTCAGGAAGTTCCCTTGTCTCTGGAAGGGAGGTCATAGACAAGTGAAATGCCAGGAACACAGTCTAACCATAAACAAGTATCAAAAACAGTGTTCAAGTACTGTCTCTCCTCTCTCTGCCTCTTTCTCCCTCACTTCTATTTCTCCTCAGGATGATCAGGAATCCACAGATGCTTGTCAGCCTCCTGCAGTGCCTGAAGCCTCATCCCCACACCAAAACCCCCTCCTCACTCAGAGTCAAAAACATCCTGTGCCTCACCCTTTCCATTCTTCCTCTCCATCTTCTTTAGAGCCCATTCCCAGTACCAGGCAAAACGGAAATCAGAAAGTTCCAGACACTTCCTTGCCAAAACCCAAAGTTAGGCTCCGAGGGTCCTCCAGGAAGACACCCTTTCCAGTTTCTTCTATAGCCCTTGAACCTCACACTGCTATTCCCACCGACCAACCCGTCACTGCTGAGCTCACATCTCGGGTCACTCGGGGCAGGACACATAGGTCCTCTGTCAAGACCCCTGAACCAGTTGTCCCCACAGCCCCTGAGCTCCAGCCTTCCACCTCCAGAGACCAGCCTGTCACACCTGAGCCCACATTGCGGATCACTCGGGGTAGGACACAAGGGTTCTCTGTCAAAACCCCTGAACTAGTTATCCCTACAGCCCCTGAAATTCAGCCTTCTACCTACAAAGACCAGTCTATCACTCCTGAGCTCATATCTTGGGGCAGGACACATAAATTTGACAAGACCCCTGAACCAGTTGTCTTCACAGCCTCTCAGCTCCAGCCTTCCTCTTCCAAAGACCAGTTTGTCATCACTGAGTCTGTAACTGGGGCTACGCAGGATAGGGCACGTAGGTCTTCTGTCAAGACTCCCAAAGCAATTGTCCCCACAGCCCCTAAGCTCCAGCCTTCTACTTCCAAGGACCAGCCTGTCACCCCTGAGCCTACATCTCGAGTCACTCGGAGCAGGACACGTGGGTCCTCTGTCAAAACCCCTGAACCAATTGTCCCCACAGCCCCTGAACTCCAGCCTACCACTTCCAAAGATCAGTCTGTCATCACTGAGCCCACAGCTGGGGCCACCCACAGCAGAACACATAGGTCTTCTGTCAAGATTCCTGAGCCAGTTGTCCCAGCAGCTCCTGAGGTCCAGTCTTCCATCCCCACAGACCAGTCTATCCCTAAACCCATATCTCATGGCAGGACACTCAGGTCTTCTGTCAAGACCATTGAACCAACTGTTCCCACAGCCCCTGAGCTCCAGCCTACCACCCCCAGAGGCCAGCCTGTCACCCCCAAACATACATCTCAGGATAGGACACCTAGGTCTTCTAGCAAGACCCCCAAACCAGTTGTCCCCACAGTCTCTGAGCTCCAGGCTTCCACCCCCACAGACGAGCCTGTCACTCCCAAACTCACATCTCGGGCCCCTCGAGGCAGGACGCAAAGGTCCTCTGTCAAGATCCCCCAACCAATTGAGTCCACAGCCTCTGACCTTGAATCTCTCAACCCCATAAATCAGGTGGTCACCCCTAAGGCTATAGCTGAGGGTGGTCGGGGTAAGACACTAAAGTCTACAATAAGTGCTGTGTCAGTTCTTACCACCCCTGAATCCCAATCTCTTGTCCCCACAGACCAGCCTATTCCCCCTGAGCCAGTCCCTCAAGCCAACTGCAGCAGGAGGCTGAGGGCCACTAGGAAGCACGGGTCCTTCACAGTTCCCATTGTCCATGGGCCCTACTCTGCACCCCCTAAACCTAACTCTCGATCCTCAAAGAACCAAAGACAAGGAGCAATGAGAGCAGTTGAGTCTCTTAGGACCGTTCCCGAGTCTGCTCTTGCCCAGCTTCCAGAGGCCCCTATTCATGCTACCGAGATCCAGAAGGTAGAGGCAGCAGGCAGATCTGAGTTCACCCCAGAGTTCCAGCCTAAGCCCTCTCAGAGCTGCAAGAGGCCTTTGGCTACTGTGGATTCACCCCCACTTCAAAAACGGCTCCAACAGAAGACCATGTCCCTCAAGGAAGAGGAAGAAGATTCTGCAGAGAGGCCAAAGAAGGATGAGGTGAGGTGAGGGCTGGGGCCCTGAAGCTAGGAAAGGGCTTGTAGGCTCAGAAACTCCCAGCAAGATCTTTCTCAATCCCAGGATGCAGTCATTCCAGGATCAGGCAAGAGAAAGAGAGACCAAACAGAGGAGGAGCCCAGGGGAATCCCAACCCGCAGCCTTCGGCGGATCAAACCTAACCAAGAATCTACAGCGCCCAAAGTAGGAGAAAAGGGGCGTGGAGCTTGGTGGGAAACAGACGTGGGAGAATGGGAGATTTAGGGGTTCAGAGATAGATGCTGATGGCTTGGGTTGCCGTGACCAGCTTAGGCTAACTCCTTCCACAGGTACTCTTCACAGGTGTGGTGGATGCCCGTGGAGAACGGGCGGTGCTGGCCCTTGGGGGGAGTCTGGCTAGCTCAGTGGCAGAGGCTTCCCACCTGGTGACTGATCGAGTCCGCCGCACGGTCAAGTTCCTGTGTGCCCTAGGGCGGGGGATCCCCATCCTCTCCCTGGACTGGCTGCACCAGGTGAGAGTCCAGGAGGTGATGGCATAGCAGCAGAGATACTGATGGCAGAAGACTGCTCACGTGGTGCTGTAGAAAGTAGTGGGGGAAAAGGGGGAGGGGGGAGACAAGGGAGGTGAATGAGGCAGAAAGTTTAATTCAAAGAACATTTCATAAGCTCCCTCTACATGCTGGGCAGAAGAGCTGGGTGGTAGGGTGGGCTGAGCTTTGATGCTGACTGCTGCTGTCCTTAGTCCCGCAAGGCTGGTTGCTTCTTGCCCCCGGATGAATATGTGGTGACTGATCCTGAGCAGGAGAAGAACTTTGGCTTCAGCCTTCGAGATGCCCTGAGCCGGGCTCGGGAGAGAAGGTTGCTGGAGGTGAGAGGCTGTCTTCTGCCCTGTGCCTCATGTGGCCTTCTTCCTGGGCTGTTCATGGGCTCTCAGTGCATATATTTATGGTCTCCACCATTTTCTTCTGCTTAGGGCTATGAGATCCATGTGACCCCAGGAGTCCAGCCATCACCACCTCAAATGGGAGAGATCATCAGCTGCTGCGGAGGCACTGTCCTACCCACCATGCCCCGGTCCTATAAGGTATGGGTGGTATGTTTTGGATCTAGTGAGGTGGCAGTTAAAGAGGTGGCTGGAATGTGTAGCAACATGGATGGACCTCGAGGGTGTTATGCTGAGCGAAATAAGTCAGAGAAGGACAAATATCATATGTTTACACATATAGGAGGATTAGGAGGAACTTAACTGAGGACCACGGGGGAGAGGAAGGGGGGAAATGGTGGGGGAAAGGGAGAGAGGCAAACCATGAGAGACTAGAGACTCTTGAATGCTGAGAAACAAACTGAGGACCGATGGATGTGGGGGGGGGGGGGAGATGGGCATGGAGGAGGGCACTTGTGGGGATGAGCACTGGGTGTTATATGGAAACCAATTTGACAATAAACTATTTGTAAAAAAAAAAAAAAAAAAAAGGTGGCTGGAATGGGAAAAGTTTGGAGAAGAATACTGGTATGGATGGGAACACAATACTGAGAGGGTAGGGGTAAGCTCTGTGGTATATAAAGGGATAGGAATGTAGAAGAGGCCTGCTGATTCTAAATGGATTTTTATTTTGTATGTTTAATTTTTTAAATATACACAAAAGGAGAGAGAACTTCCATATATCAGTTACTCAGATTTAACAAGGTAGTATATGGGTGCCTGGGTAGCTCAGTCTGTTGAGTGTCCGACTTCGGCTCAGGTCATGATCTCACGGTTTGTGGGCCAGAGCCCCGCATTGGGCTCTGTGCTGACAGCTCAGAGCCTGGAGCCTCCTTCAGATTCTGTGTCTCCCTCTCTCTGACCCTCCCCTGCTCACACTGTCTCTCTCTCTCTTTCTCTCAGAAATAAATAAAAACATTAAAAATTTTTTAAAAAAACAAGGTAGTATAGATTTTGCTCTGTCTTCTCAATTTACGCCTTTTTTTCCTCTTTCTTTGCTGAAGTATTTAAAACAATTTTTTTAACTTTATTTATTTTGAAAGAGAGAGCACAAACAAGGTAGGGGCAGAGAGAGGGGGAAGAGAGATCATCCCAAGAAGGCTCTGCGCAGAGCCTGATGTGGGGCTCAAACTCACAAACCACGAGATCATGACCTGGGCTGAAACCAAGAGTTAGTTGCTTTACTGACTGAGCCATCCAGACACCCCTTTGCTGAAATATTTTAAAGGAAACTACAAGTATCATATTATGTCCCCCTACGTGCTTAAAGTAGACTTCTACAAGAAGTGATATGTTTTTTTTACATAATCACAATGCCATTATTGATCCATGACAAAATTAACAGTAGTTTCTTGTCATTATCTCATAGTCCATTAGTCAGATTTCTCCAGTTGGCCAAAAATGTCTCTTTATAGTTCAAGTCAGGATTCAGATGAGGTTCAAGTATTGCCACAATTGCAAACTCCTTTTTTTTAATGACTATTTAAGAAAATTTTTTTAATGTTTATTTCTTTTTTGAGAGAGTGTGAGCAAGGGAGGGGCAGAGAGAGAGAGAGAGAGAGAGGGAGAGAGAGAGAGAGAGA